TGTGGTAGGTGGTGGGACTGGGGTCTACCTTGCACCCTCTGAGTCTCCTGTTCCTTGTCTCAGCACTGTGTGCTGAGGGCACTCTGATGCCCCCCTTCTCTGCAGGGGGCTGTCCTCCTGAGGACAAGAAACTGCTTGCTGGTCACCTGCCGCACAAGGTCAGAGCTCGGGGAGCTCTGGGGGAGAAAGGAGATGCTTCCAGCAGCCCGTGGATTCAGGGAGCTGTGAGCACATATGATGGTCAGGCTGCACAGCCAAAGCTTATTCCAGGTCACGTGGTCCAACTCCCCCCCCCCCAAGACTCGAGTTAGACAAGGACACCAGTGTGGCTGCACGTCTAGCCTGCTTGTCAGCCACCCTTACAGTCAGCTCTCAGCCTAATTTTCAGAACAGTCTGGCTATGGATGTCGGGACATTGAAGTGTCCTTGCAACCTCCACAGAGCTGTCATAAAGCTGCCTTAAACTGGCAAATAGTTTCCCTGAGCAAACAGGTGTTCTGAGACCAATATCAGGGTTGGGGGTGGGGAGAGGGGTGGAGGAGGGTGCTGGGAGCAGGCCGAGGGCTCCAAAAACCAGCAGGCAGTGCTCTGACACCGCTGGGTGGGCTGCTGGTCAATAGGCAATTCAGTTCTGACTCTGCAGACAGAGTACCTCGTCCTGGAAGACGGCCCCTCCCGTCACTGCCCTGTGAGATGGAAAGGCCTTGTCACCTGGGTGCTTCCAGGCCAGAATCCATGGTTCCCGCCACCCCAGTCCTCAGGTTTGATTCATTTGCTGGAGAAACTCACAGAACTCAGAGAAATGTTTTACTGATGGATTACAGGTTTGTTATAAAAGGACATGACTTGGGCACAGCCAGCCAGAAGCGATGCCCAGGGTAAGGATGGAGAGGAGCGGACCGTCCACCCCACCCCCTTCAGCCTCCAAGGACCAGCCACACCTCTGTGAACACAGCCCGTTTGGGATCCTCAGGAGGTTTCACCACCTTGAGTAAGTCTTGGCCACAGGGAGCTGCTAAGATCTTCAGCCCCTCTTGGCTCCCCAAAGGTGGAGGTGGGGCCCAAATCTCCAACTTTCTAATCATGGTTGGTTTCTGGCAACCAGCCCCCAGCCTTAGGTGCATTCCAAAAGTCACCTCATTATCATAACAAAAGACGTCTTTATGGCCTTTATGGCTCTCAACTTTGAGGAAATTCCAAGGTTTTCAGAGCCCTATGCCAAAAAAAACCAAAAAAAACCACGGCCCTTTATTATAAATCATGCCACCCTGAGCTGATGGTTTTCTTTTTGCAAAACCTGCACCGTCAGAAGACACCTTCTAACCCCCCATTCCTTGTGATTCCCATCTCCCCACACTTGACCTCCCCAAACTTCAAATTTTGCTACTGTTTTGCCCCAACTTCTGTGACCGGCTGCAAGAAAGGAAGGTGGAGGCAGAAAGGCTGAGCAGTGGAGTTTATTGCACCCGGACAGCAGCTGAGACGGAGCCCCTAGGGTGGGGTCCGCAGCTACTGCCAACTCAATAAAGGGGAAGGGTCTCTTATGTAGATTCTAAACTCAGATTCCCAAGGGGTGACTCATCGCTGTGTCCTTGATGTGAGGCCCAGTTCGCTGTCACCTTCAGCTAGTCCCATCCAGGATCTCAAGGTCAGTTTACTACCACTTTATCAAGCCTGGATGCAAGGCTCAGTTCTTTACCGCCCTAATTCAGTCCTTGTCAGTAAATCTTTGGTGACTCCCAACAGTTACCTGCATCTTGTCCATGGGTGACAGGCCAAGCTTTAGAATGCCACCCTGTGCCAGCCAGGACCCCGTTTTGTTTCCATCCATAGGGCCACTATTGTGTCCAGGTAGGTGGGAAATCCAGCACTGAACTTCCCTCCAGAGACTGCTCCCTAGGGCCACCTGCAGAGGCCACCATGGAGCAATGTTGGCTGAGGTTCCGTGGGACCACAGTGCAGAGCCACAAAATAAAAGGGGCAGTAAAGTGAAGCAAAGAAGGGAAGCACAGACGGCCGAGGTTACCGAGCTGGCCACTGAAAGGCCACCCAGGCCCCCAGAATGGCCAAAGGATCCAGAGGAAGCAAGAAGGGTTGGCACCGGCAGGCTGCCCGAAGTTGCCTCTCCCTCCCCCAGGTTGCCGCTCTGATAAGGATCAAAGACCCTGAACAAAAACGGTGACCGCTGACCAAAAGGACAGCATGACCCAATGGTACTTTCCCTCTGCCTCCCCAGGCCTGTCCACTGGGCCCAACTCCCCAGGCCCTCCGCTGGGGACCTGCAAACCTAGCTGGAAGCACAATAAAGCCTCCCCCTTTCTTACTTCTGTCTCCTGCCTTCTTCCATACCTGGGACCTTACAGCCACATCCTCAGAAGACAGAGCCACATCAATCATGTGGACCGAACATCAGCTGCCAGGCCAAATGGAGCCCCTATGATCCATACGATCCATACGCTGGGACCCCATCTGCCCACCCCACCCCCCACCGCTTCCTGGCCTCTCTGAGGAGCAGATGGCCATTTGAACCCAGAAGAGGAGGGAGGAGCCACCGTCTCGCTGGGTCCTGCTGTGGCCAGAAGGGAACCCCACAGGGCCTGGCTGTCACCCTAAGGGGCACTGTTAGATTCTTCATTATCAGGAGGGCCAAGAGGTCATGGCGGCCAAGAGACACGCACCAGATGCACAGGGAGGTCCAGGCCAGAACAGTGGTCACCCTGCAGCGTGGATCCGGCCAGGTTCCCAGCAGGCAAGACCTGCACAGACTGTCCAAGCTGTGGACCTCTAGCTGGGGTTGGCGCTCCTGAGCCCTAGGTGAGAAGCTATGCCACCCTTAGACGAGTCACTTCTTTGAACTTGTCCAATAGGGCAGTCACGTGCACCACACTGAGTTGTGAGAATAGAATTGAAGGTGCTCTAAAGCACAGCTTTCAGTGGCCTGGGCTGTGAGGGACTTTTGGAAGAGCCTGGGTGAGACGGCCACGAGAGCCCTGAGGCCAGCAATGCCTTCACAGGGAATAATAAAGCACAGAGTAAACAAAGCAAAGCCGGGGCTTCACGCTCTAAAGCCCTGTTGTTTTGACCTCAGCTGACTAATAGCACTTTAATTGTGTGACAATCCTGCTTCAAGCTAGGAAGCCTCCTCCCCAGTATTTCCCTGCAATCTGTACCCCCTCTAAGGTGGCCCCCTGAAGGGCCTTGACATGACCTGGTGGCCACTGTCGCACACTAGAAGACCCAATACAATCTGGCCCAGCAGGCGCTCACGGCATCCTATCTGAAATGATGAATGAGAAACCGAAGGAGCAAATAAATATCTCCACTGTTCGCCCACTGAGTCCCCAATCTACTACTCTCCACTCCCAGCAGGACCCCTGGCCAGGGAGCCCTGAAGGCCAGCGGACAGTGGGATGGATGACTGGTTTCATTATCTGCCTCCCTGCTGAGACCCTGCGAGTTCTTGGCAGGAAGGGACAGGGCCTTGTTCTCCTCTGTGCCCCAGCATCTTGCTCTGCAGAATCTGGCCAGCCCGCCACAGGGAGGAGGTTGCTGGGAAATTGGTCAGAAGGCTGCTTCATACTTAGTGTGGTGGGTGAGCGGGGCGGGGGCCTGCAAGGAGGGCGACCAGGTAAATATTTCTTCAGTGAGTGCCCTAGCCAGACTCCCCTCCATCTAGAGGCCTTCAGTCTCCATCTAACAGTAGGGCCTTCCCTGTGTGTGTAGGGGTGGGGGGTGGCAATGGGGGGGGGGTTCCTGGCAGCAGGCAGTGGGATCTTCTAGAAGGCTCTGGTTCCGCCCCTCCCAGGCGCTGCAGGGGAAGTTCTGCACCAGTGATTATAGCCTAGAGGCCTGGGCAGTGTGCAGGAAAACACATAAAGTGGCCGACTTGTTGATGATCTTGCTCCAGCCAGAAGAGTTTGCGATGAGCCAGGCGGGAGATCCTCCCCAGGGTCCAGGGCCTTCGGCAACTCCTTCCAAGACATAGAAGCAGTGAAGCTGGACAGACCCGGTGACCGCACTACAGAAGCGAAAATGGGGCCCTGGGCCCAGATGGGTGGCCTGGACCTTCAAGCCCTGACCTTCGGAATTGGGGCCCAGGGAAGGGAGATAGCCCGTCAGCGCGCTGCCCCAAAAGGGGTCTCCACGTGTCTCTCCTCCCACCTGCCAGCAGTCTCAGAGAAACTCCAGGGACAGACAAGCCCTGCGTAAGACACCCTGGGGCCGGGAGTCCTCTTCCTCGCGGGGGAATAAATTATTTAGCTCCCAATACACAATAGCCTCGCTAGATGGAGACGCGGAATCACTGCAGCGGCGCTGGCGGCGGCGGCGGGGAGCGCGGGCGCTGCCCAGGGCCGGAGGCGGGCGAGGCTCTGGCGAGGCTCACGTCTGTTTTCCTTTTTCGTGCATTATTTATTTCGCCTCCGCCCGCGTCCCTGCTGCCTGAGCGGACGATCTCGGCCAGCGCCTCTCGGCGCTGCCCCCTGCAAGTCGGCGCGACAG